AACCTCAAAATCATGCTGACTCTTAATGTTCAGGCCTCATAGTATTCAGCTATGCGTTTCCCTCAACTTTCGTTTTTCTGACGAAATTTGACATTTTTTGAGGGGGGGGGGGCCTTAAGCGTCTAGCCTGAAAAAAGAGAGTCTATTAAATTTTACGTTATCGGTTATCAAGTACATGACTTACTCTTCATATTTTAGCATACATATAGAGCCCAGTCTATGCTCTTGTTGTTTTAGTCAAAAGATCAAGTAGTTTAATCGAAAATTGCAGTCTCCCCATGTCTTTTGAATTCTCTGTATTCGGGTGGCATTTTCATTTAGTGGTAAGTTATATCATGAAACTTTAACTACAGATAAAGTTTATGTACGAGCTCAGATCGATTTACTGAACTGTTACTGAATTACCAAGCATAGCGCATGTTAAATGCAGCTGTTGACATGAAAGCTTAGCTACTCGACATTGCTGCTAGTATTGCATATGACGAGAAGGACAAAGATGTGTAACTAGACGAACACTGGTTGTAACGTCGGTGAATCATCTAATCGCCGCTGTTAATAATTATTTTCTTAGTTTTTCTGCAGAAATAATTGACGACGAAAAATTTGCACTACCTTTAATAATATTGAAAAAAGAAGAAGGTAGAATGCGCAAAAAGAAAACTTTATGATACTACTGCTAGTAAGTATATATCAACTATACTTTACACAGACTACGAGTCATTATCCTGTTGTAATCAAAAATTGCTTATGTATTTTGTAATTGAAATAGACCATGTTTCTATTACTTTACTCTAACTGTCATAAAAACGCTTTTGCCTTCAACTCTACAAGATACAATTTTGTCGGTTTATTATTCTCAATATTCATATAGGAAATAAAATCTTTGGTTTTCCCTAAATTCATTCTAAATTTTTCTTTCGAATTATTTCACATTCAATTTTGATAAAAAAAAACATACAGTAAATTTATCTTCAACAATACGTTTTCTTTGTTCTGATGCACGATCCATTAATTCTATTATTTCTTTATAAGTATTTAATGCTGATTTTAATTGAGCATCATTAAGAACTGATAATAAATCATCAAAGTGTATCATAACACGAGACGTTATCATTGTACTATCTACGAAAATAAATAAAATAAATTTTTATTTGATTAACAAAAAGAAATTCAAAAATGAGCACCTTGGAGATTCTTTTTCATTGAAATTCTCATTCGACATGAATTAACAATAAAACGTATTGATGTTCCTGGAGAATTATTATCAGTTGATGATGCTTCAATACGTGCATTCGGCCAAAATATTTCCTTTCATGTTTAAAAAACATAGGCATTCATTTTAAAAAGAACTTTGGTTTTTACTTTAAAAAGAAGAATATGACCTTTAGTAGTATTACGAAGACGAGTTAAGGTCAATGTATCAACTTTTTGTCCATTAGGTGCTGTACTATAAATATCTAAAGTCGGTAACTAAAAAATACCATAACATTTCAATTGAATTAAAATGATACATCGACTTACAAAAACTGATGCTTTAAAACCTTGTGATTTTATTGTAAATGTTAGACTTGAAATTGTTAATGAAATTCCATCAATTGCTCGATTAGTAAAACCATATTTACCCATTGATCTATAGAAAAAACATATAAACACTTGTTTTTGAATCTAAATGAAATTCTTACGGATCATTTCCACTTGATAAATTCTGTAAATCACGTAGTTTTTCACATGTTTCGATTTCAATGATAACATCATCTAATGACTATATATAAATGATACAAGTTATATTGAATTGTTTCTAAATTTTTTCTTACTAATTGAATTGGTAAAGTTTTTAAATTTGCCCAAGGAATCTAATTGAAAAAAGAAAAATTTGTGTTATCTTATTTAATATTGTTCTACTTTGATAAAAGCACGTCCACATGTTGCTTTTTTAATTTTAAGCCATGTTGGTAATTCAGTAACATCTTCTAATGCTCTTTCATCTAAATTTATTGATGATAATTCACCTTCACCTTTTATTGTACTTATATTTATTTGATTTGCTGAAAGATTTTTGACAAACCTTTAAATAATTTAATAAAATAGAAGAAAATTTAAAAGAAATTCTTTATTTCACACTTTGATAATCGTTTGATAATTTGATGTTTGATTAATGAAGCCATCGAATATTCTTTTATAAACCTAATCAATACACAAATACTATTATTATCATCATTATTATTATTATTATTATTATTACTATTATTATTAGTATTATCTACTTTTTAAAATAATATATTTAATCTATCAAATCAAGGTTAAATTACATAGATGTCACTCGGATCTATTTTAAAAAAAGGTAATTTTCTTTATTTTAATACAGAAGAAAAAAACGTGAATATAAGTAAATAAGAGTGTTTATTTGAATGATTTTGCTTGATTAACTTATTTTAATATAGAATTTCAGCTATTCAAGGTATCATTTGTTGTTGTTGAAACATGTTCAACAGATTCTTTTATTTTTTCTTGTTCACTTCCATCTGCTTTGCCAGAACCTCGTTGCATAAGTTCAATTATTTGTTGTAAAAGACTATTTGTTTGTACAAAATTTGTATTTATAACATGACTGAGACTTTTTTCTAATGAACAATAAGGCATTTGAAGTTCGTAAGATGAACCATAGATTAATCGAATATATAATGAAAGAAATTGTTCTATATTTGATTTTGAACGATTACAAGCTGATAAGGATTTACATCGAAGTGTAATAATTTCCGACACAGTATATGGTGTACGAGTAATATTATATGGTTGATCAATGTCAAATGAACAATCTGGATTATTTTCTCTACCTCTTAAATTCCAGCCAATATTTACATATGTCATGTTTAATAATGAAAGACTGCAATTAATATAATTACATTGAATAGCAATATTTCGCAAAATATATGGTTCAACATGACGTGAATCAAAATGAAGTTGAAAACTATATTCATAATCACTTTTTGTTGTATTATACAAACATTGATTTAATGTTTCATTATTATAAAATAATTGAATTTCATCAGTATAAAAAAATTGACATGGATAACGTCGATATTGAAATATATGATGGTCATAATCAAACAATCGAACAGTTTTTATATAAACAAGTGCTGGGCTGTCTGACCATTCAAAGGCTTTCATTGGATCAATTGATAGATTATAACTCGGATAGAGATCACCACTATTTGAACTCAATACAAGATTGAGAACAATAAAAACAATCGTACTAAAATACATTGATATTGAAAAAATTGTTATTTGTAATTTACTTTTCATAACAAACAGAGCAACATAGCATTTTTATATATATCACTAACTAATGATCTATACCGACATATGTTAAATGTTTATTTCGGGAAAAACAATAATATGTCAACTACTGAACTGTATAATTATTATCCTTATCGCAAATGTTTCATATCAAAATGACATAAGTCATATTAGAAAATAATTTTTGTTCCTTTCTTTGTGAAATTACGCAGTTAATAAAGAGATCAACAAATAAAAATCAAACAATCATATATTTTTTTTCTTTTTTTCGTACACACATAAGACAAAACCAAAATCAACTTTTCCCTAGTCTACTATAAAAAACACAATTTTATAAAAACAGTCTCATCATCTTCACTACCGTCCAAAAGAGAATATCAATGACGCAAAAAACGAGTCACAGACGTACGCGAAAGAAAACGAGAAAGTTCTACTCAACAATGAGTATTCCCTATAGATAGATATATAAGATCAAAAAAAAAAAATGAAAATTTCATATTCATCCATCAATATGATGTATAAATGATTTTTGTTTAAACAAAAAAAGCTATTTAATTTTCTGGTGGAGATTCTATATATCGAAGATCATATCGAATATTTGATGAACGATATTGATTTGGTTGCGAAGAAAACGAAAGACAAGAACGAAATGTTAATCCACGTGTCCGTCGTCCACCACCAATTCTTTCATTTTCACCTGTAAATTTATCAAATTGTTTTGTTTCAAAACGATATTGTCGATATTCTTCTTGATAATTAACATCACTCATGGTTCGATACTGATTTGGTATACAGAATTGCTAATAAAAATAAAAAGTATTAGCGCTTATTTTAGCAAAAAAAAGAAGGATAAAGTCTTACATTAGAATATTCATAAAATGCTTTATAACCACCTTCAAGTAAATAAATTTCTGGATAATGTAATTGTGGATAATTTCTTTCATGTATGTTACGATCTTCTGATCGAAAAAACCGCAATCTAGTAATTAAAATCTTCTTATTAGTCTACAAAACAAAAACTTTCAATAATTCACTTACAATGACGGTGCTCTTTCAGATGAAAATTCACAATGAAAAATAAAAATATTTCGTTTCGATGTATCTCTTAATTCTAATGGTTTATGAAAATATTCATTATAAATTTGTGAACGTGTATAAAGATTTTTCGCTAATTGAATATGACCACCTTCATATTCATATGGATAACGACAATCAATAATATATAGATTTTCAATTTCAGATGCATAAACATTTTGTAATATATCAACCACCTAGAAAATATAATCATATATCAAAATATGTTTAATTTTTGTTCTTACCGTTTCAGGACTAATACAAGCAAGATCAGGATGTTTACGACTTTTACATCTTGGTAAAAGATAAGAACGTGTACGATCACCAATTAAATCTCGATTAGAACCAAGTTCAACGGATGCTTTTATTTGTTCTTCATTTGGTTCAGTGAAACTTCGAATTAACTAGCAAAACAAAAACAAATAGCAATAAAAATTTAATGAAATCCTCAATAAAAAAACTTTTAAATACATACGCCAACACCACGCCGAGAACGTTTGACAAATAAATTATTTTCTTTATCATTTTCATTAAAGATTTTACTGCGTTTTATTGCACGACAATTTTCACTGTTTTCATCGTCAATATAACTTCGTTTCTACAAAAAAAAATATTAAACGTTTTCTTCTTATTTGTAAAACAAGGAAATATTCTTACATTAGTATTCGAGTTTTCTTCTGTAGTAATAACCGTTAAAACTGGCATATTTTTTTCATTATCCGATAAACAGAGAGGTAATGGCTTATATCGTCGTTGTCGATTACGAACAGGATTTGGTGTCACTGTCGAAAGAGTTTTATCGAATAAATTAACTAGATGATCCGAATGAGAGTCCTATGAAAATTTTTTTCATACAAAATAAAAAAGGATTTTTATAAAAAATAACGAACCGATGATGATGATTGAGATCGTGTTTGCATTGAATGACATGGTTCATTTGAACGAGTTTTTTTATTTTGATTGATTATAGTTAATGATTGACGTTTATTTAAACGTAATGATGTCGGCCGAGCAAGCATACTAAAGCCATAATGTTCTAGTTTCGAACGTGTTACAATACTTGTTGTCATTTCTGACTTCGTCGACAACCTATTTGAAGTAAAATAGATAATTTTTAAAGTCGACTAGATAAAAATCATAAAAGGATCTAAGTTCTTGTTGAGATTTGACTAAACTATGAAATTTCGATCTGAAATTTTGCTTATATAAAGCGTTCAACTAGACTACGTTCCATAGAAAATTCAGACATTTTCAACAAAGTCTTTTCGAGAAATGATACTTTTCAAAAACTGCCTGTTATATACATTATTCATGGAAAAGAATCTTTATCTGGAAAGTCTCATATCTCGAAGAGACTTTTTTTAAAACTTGTGAATTTTTCTATAGAAGGTATTTTAGTTCAGTTCTCCATACGAGTGAAGCTTCAGATCAAAATATGAAAATAAGTGTTTTCTGAAAGCCTCGGGTGTCCAGCAAAAAAAAAGCATTCGAAAACTTAGTTAGGTATTAGTACCTTTCAAGAATTTCATTAGAATACTATGTTCTATCTATGGAAATAAAAATAATTAATCTCGAGAGAAGACATCTGAGAGGGTTTCCTCATTAGCTAAATAAAATATAATTATCATTTTTTTGTCTATTTGCTAATGGTAGGAAAGCACTCAGCCATTTACCTTAAGGGAAGAGGAAATACGTGACGTCATTTGTAGCATGAAAGTTGACACTTGTCTATAATTGTATGAGAGAGAAAAAGGAAAAAAATGAGGGTAAGATCGTTGCACTTGAATGAGAGAAGAGAAAAAAAATTTTGAAAAAAAAAACATGTCAACGGTCGAACACACACTCTACACTTGAGTGCCATTGAATTGTCAGTCATAAATCAAGTAGAACGAAATCTATCGCCGCTCATGTGAAGCTAACCATGGTATGCAGCCAACAATAAAAAGAAAAGAACACTCACTGTTCATCATAAATAATCGAATGATGTTCTTGTCGCAGGATATGCACTAAAGCGAAAAATTTCTATTTTTTTAATTAAGAGAAAAATAAAATGATTTATACCTGAAGATACCGATTGTGGACTATCATCTGTTTCATCATCACTTGAAGAAAAAACAAGTTTACGTCGAGGTGTTCGTCTACAGAAAACATTTCATTTAGATTTTAATGAAACTTTTACAATACGAGCATCAATGTTTGTCTTATTTTCTCGATCGTGAATATAAGCAAGCATATCTTACCGTAACATAAATCGACAACTCAAAGGAGACGTTGTCTTACTCATATTGAGCCCATGTTGAATATCAAATAAGGTATTCATATATATATATATAGATAACTGATAACTCTCTTAAGATAATAGTCACCACAACATAGAGAAGAAAACGAGTGATGTTATGTGCATTTCATCAAGATGAAACTGGGACGACCATTGAACTAGCGAATTCTTTTTTTCCTCTCGTTTGAATTGATGAAAAAATATTTGCTTCTCTTCTCTTTACTTTTGCTTACGCTCTCTCAACGTTTGTCGAGCTTAACGAATTTTTTGAACGTGTGTTCAATAAACATATAGAAAGCAACGAACAGGACACAGCAAGAGAAAAGAAAGGGAGAAAATGGGTGGGAGACGAGATCGATGCAATGACGGATAACATCCTTTCAACACTTTTTTCCTCCCGGGAAAGAGAGTTCGTTAGAAAAGAAATAACAAAAAAGCGAAAGAGAACGTTAGGAAACGAATTTCGACGTTGTTTTCATTTGCACTTTAATGCAGATTTAATCACATCTAACGCTATCAAAGAGAGGAGTACGAAAGATTGTTCGTATAGAAAGAAATAAAAGAACAAAAAGTTAGTTTATATTATAGACTATGAATAAATGCATTCATTCAAAAAATCTATAATTATATCATGTCAAAATTGAACAATCTGTTCAAGAAGATGGATGTGTGAGAAAAAAAGAAGACAGATGATGAAATTAATATTGTTTTGACAATTTTCATCAAACAACTGCAGAGAATATCTATTGAAAAAAATGTACATTTTCATCTAAGCCTTGCAGCAAAAATATAGGATTTCATCAATCTTGGATCATTAAGATCATGCTTACTGCAGTTTACTTAAGGACGCTACCCCCCCCCCCTTTCGTGACTAATCTATAGCCTGAATTGTATCTATCGATTGAATACATGTTGGTATTCAAAAATTGTCTTTAAAAATTAAAAAAACAAATTAACAAAAACTGTACACTGTTGCGCATTTTTGTTCAGAATCAATTTTTCAAAAGAAAAATTGAAGTTTTGTACTTTTTTCTTCCAGACGCTTCGATCAATTGAGTAGGAACTTTTTTTATTTGACAATTAGGATCAAAACGGAATGTATATAGGAATTCTTTTTAAAATAAGGTTCTAATAATCTTTCACAAATCTTACAAAATGTTCTCTAAGCAAAAAAAACAAACACATTTTTTTATCAGACTTTCAGTATTTTGATTCTCCTAAGCGAAAGAAACAATACTTCTCAAAGAGAAAAAGTATTCAACTATAAAAAAATAAATTATCACTACTTTAGGGAGGGCTCTAGGTTATTTCTGGTCCTTGCATCGTCTATATCTCACAGTAGGAAGCATCCGGAGATTCTAAGTCTATAACAATCTTTGCTCAACTAGTCTAGATTTATCTACCCTAAAAGTTTCAAGATCTTTGGTCGAACCATTCTTGAGAAACCCAGAAAGAGGCGAAAGGTACCTTTAAAAGCACATTTGTTACAATATTCACGGTAATGGAAAACTAGAGTAGTAGTATCAAACTTCAATATCATTATAATGTTACCTTTTGTAAGAGGCGATAATCTTTTTAAATGATTTGCCTAGAAAAATTTCTTCAAATAATGATT